TGCAATTTTAAGAATTGTACGGTCAAGAGCGTCCTTTCGTATCACCACGGTCTAAACTCGTGCATTTGAAGTCACATTAATCTATCAACTAGGTACGTGGGAATGTCGGCTAGCAATCAATCAATATCAAAATCAAATCCACGGTTCGGGTAGAATGCATGGCTTACTCACATTCCTTTCGTAATCAGATTCGATGAGGTAGAAGAGTAAAGCTCCAAGTAGGGTATAGATGAGCACTAGTAACAGCATACAAATGTGTCGGAAACCGATCTTTTTGTGATTTGCTGCCACCCAGTAGAAAGATTTGGCGAAATCTGAAAGAGAACATATCAAATGCTCCACTGAGTAATATTGAGAGGTTAGCATGCGCCATGCATCTATCTTTTCTCTAAATGCCAGACCTATTGCCACTCGCTTTATTCGTTGACTCTACGGTTACTAGTCAAGTATGGCGGAAGGATCTGACTCTCCTTTCTGAAAGTGCCGAGATTGTAAACGGAGCCATAAAGCAAAGTACATAGGCTGCTACAAGACAAAAGTATGCCCCTATTAATGGTTGTCCTTCGACAGCACTAAAGCGATCACGGGAAAATTCAAATGAATGACTCGTTCGGGAACTTCCCATATATAATACAATGAAGGCTTGATACTTTATCAGAGTTGTTTTAGCCATTTCTTTCTCTGTTTGTCGAAATTGACCACAGCCATTAGTTCTAGAGGAGGCTAGTTAAAAACCCACTCTTCCTTTCGGTGACCTTTGGTGATGGCATGATCACTTCGGACTGTCCACTTCGCCTGGATGCCAACGAGACCGGATGTCTGGTTTCTCGTGTACGACGGACCGGTTCGAGGGCTCGACTTTGAAGACCTGGATTATCGATTGATTCCAACTGAATGATTCAAAATGATTGGTCCAGCTTAACTGATTTCACAAAAGGACTGCAAAAATTCGTTCATGGTCGGAGACGCAAAATACACTCTAATTCCCTGGGCTCTAGCTCTTAAGTTGGATTCAAGAGATCAATACTTACTATTAATTGTTGCCTGATTCCGTTGATAATAACGTTCGATCACGTCCTGTTCAGAACCGACGTTGACAGAAGGTCGTCCTTCAGCTGGTAAGTCAAATGACTGACGTTTCTCCAAAATTGAACGGATCTCTGTCACTTGTGGATTGCGTAGTATCGAACGTTGGCTATCATCGGCTGCTACTTCACATTCTGATATGCTTCGTGCAAAAACCCTTGAATGAAGAAAAGAATAGACAATTGCTATTATAATGCTTTCAGAAATCGACTAATAACGCGACATCCCGAGTGATTCATTAGAAAAGATATGTTCAGAGCTATTTCGGGAAGTCATTCTGAGGCCAAGGTGAAGGAACTATTTTAGGTTTTCTCGGAAAGATTTTTGCAAGACCTACCTCTTCGGTAACTCCACAGGTTCACTATCTATTTCAGGCGAATTCTGCACTTCTGCTCCTCTGGCACATTCGATTTCCTCATCGGTATCTGAATACAGACGTTGTTAGGGATGGAATTTTCCTGCAAATTTCATCTATTAGGAACTATCTAGTGAGCCTGCTCTTGTCCACCGTATCCCTATCGTTTTCTCCCACAGGACTGGGAGGCGGAGAATAAAATAAGGATCAGGTCCCATGCTGGTCAGTCTGATCAAAGTTCATGTCGATTCGACTGGTCTATATCTGGAGGAAGAAGTCAACTATCGAATCCATTTATCTTGGTTTCACTGGATGCCTTCACCTTTGTCTGCCAGGTGTTGGAATTGATCAATTAACTCCCTGATTAAAAATTGAAGCGTAGGGCATGGCGCACACCAGAGGGAACGATTGATCAGGACTGTTCATCTATTATTTTTGCCTTGAAACATTCACAAAGTCATGGATGCAAAAAAAAGCAAATCCAATGCGACCAGAGTCGAAGATAGCATTGGAGAAGGGAAAAGAGTCAACCGCTGTATATGCCAGCTGGTCATCCCTAAAGGAGCTTGACCTTCATGTTCCAAGTCCAAAAGATATAGGTCACAANGATGACGTCGTACTTGATCTTCCTAGCTTGCATCATCAGTAATCATTCGTATTGGAGAACATTCACAAAGTCATGGATGCCAAAAAAATACCAAATCGGATGCGACCAGAGTCGAAGATAGCATTGGAGAAGGGAAAAGAGTCAACCGCTGTATATGCCAGCTGGTCATCCCCAAAGGAGCTAGACCTTCATGTTCCAAGTCCAAAAGATATAGGTCACAAAAAAAGCATTCAAAGTGCCGGTGAAGGCAAAAAATTGAGAAATTAATGGAAAATTCACAAACAACCAAAAGATTCCTACTCACCTTTTTTCTGATCTGGAACCTTATCTTCGACGACAGCTGATCCGGAAGTGGTCGGGCTTACCGATTCGTCGCAAGAAGGGGGCATTGGTGAGTGTGATGTACAACTTTCAACCTCTTCACTGATGTCTGAAAGATGGAAAATACAAAAATTAGAGAGTCACGTGTCCCGGTTACTTGTACTTCAACGGTAACACCACTGTTTTGTTATTTCGAAGCGATTTCATTGATACCTATGTTACCATTATCAATACAAGTTCCCCTACCGTCACATTTCGTCCGGACCCTACTGGTTCGACGCGAATAAGGATCCATTCTGCGAAACAATCTAACGACAGCTTAGAGAGTCGGTATCACTGGTTGACAGCTACAGGTGATTGAATTGTTTCGGTTTTTGGTTCTCGGGTCGAATTTCTCTTGGGCGGGTCTTGAAGGGAAACAATGACGTGACGTTTCCTCATCACCATGTGCTACTATTTCCAGTTTTTTGCTTCACGCATATCGTTGACCGATTAACCACCATTTATCATCGTTATCAACGACTGCTATATCAGCTCACGCCATCTTTGATACAGCAGCATGGCAGCATTACAATTGTCTGATTATTTTCTGAGGGGGCTTTTCTTGATTTCTTGGATATCTACTGTCCGACTCTGAAGAGATGGAAAAACTCGGTGACCAGGGTGAGTAAGGGTCCCTGATTCGATCCCTCGACTAGCGGCACCATGTAGCACTATGATTTCTTGGCCTTTAGTCGAGCCATGAACAAAAAAATTTGTTTCGAACTCAGATGTCAAAACAGAAAGACATTCAGAAGGAAAATAAAGGAACTGGGCAGAAGAAACCTGCAAAGACCTCGACAAGGTCACTGTGATCAATTCTACTGAAATTCATATGATTACCCAGGTAGAACTGGTTTTAATTCAGTAGACTGTGTGGATTCTTAGAGTTGCGTCATTTCATACTTGCCGATTATACCTTTCTTAACGGGTACCTCTCAACATAACATTGACGAATGAAAGACCGAAAAATCAAAAATCCAATTGATACCCACTGAGCGACTCGTGACTAGACATACCCACGTTGCAGGGGTTGTTGTGAACAAGGAAGTTGATGCTGATCATAATTCATGACATATTACCCATCAGGTTCTGCCAATTTTGTGTCATCACAAGTAATTCGTTTTGAACGATGACGCTGGGGTGTGGTGCAGTAGTAACGAAATTATCGCGTGGCGGCGAGAGGGACGCCGCGCGCGAAGGAGTGTAGAAAGATGCAGGAGCAGGTAAGAAATACAAGAGTAAAGGAACTAACAGTAGTAGTATCCTGCCAAAAGTAATAATCGCATAGCGATTGAGCTGTATGAAGGACGCTAAGCTGCAATAAGGGCGAAGCGAAAACCGCGACAGCCGCGTGCGGCGAATTACAGAAAATCGTTCCCACTGTCCTTCTTCCATGTCACCGGATACTGTAGGCGACAACGAGCAACATGCAGTGATCATAAGCGACAATAGGCGACAGCGAGTGATTTTAAATGACCAGCATTGTGTAGAATGATGGACGTAAGGTGAAAGGGTTAGCAAAGACTAAGGACAAAGAGCGACATCAGGCGACAGCAATTTGCAGGGAACAACTACAAATGACATTGGACATGAGTAGAAGAATTGGTAGTAACGAGAAATGTAAAAAACGGACCATGCTCGACAGCAAAACAAGGCAAAAGGGCACTGATCAGGCGCGTAATGAGACCGTAAAATGGGCGACAAGAAGCGACTATGAGCGGCAAAAAGTAATTGAGACTGCGCCCGTGGTGGCGAACCCAAGAACAATCCCTATAAGGATGGGATAAAATGTTCACTTTTGTAAAAACTACTTAAAAACACATTTATACGGGAAATATGTAGTAGATTGACCTCGAAATTGAATTTCTACTCATTCATTTTCATTGACTGTTGTGAAATTTCAGCCATTCACAGCTTTTCCTTTACAGTCACTTCATCTCGCTCGGAAATATCTCCTGGGTTTCGCATCCTCGAATTTCCGTTTGCTACCGCTCGTCACCTCCAAAATTCCGAAAGAATCCAAATTGCTTTTCGATCATGCATGCAGACGCTGGGAATGGAAATGGTAAAAATTGTCTCAGCATTCGGATATGTCTAGACTAACGAGAGCATCGCAATGGCTTTAGCATCAAAAACATGGTGCTCTAATAATTGTCCGTTGATATCAGGCTAATATGGATCACTAAACTTGACCTTCCTTATTCATTTTGGAGGAAAATATTAAACAAGGCTAAATCTAAGTCTGAATATGACGATGAAATGAAAGATTCTGCGGATTTTGGTCAGCATCGGTCAAATACCTACTGCCAGAAAGAGTAACTCCAGAGACGAATGATGAAATCAGTTCATAACGAAAACCAGCCACTGATCGATGAATTAATCGTAAAGTGCATTTGATCGATTGTGGAAAATAACGATGAAAGACTTGAGAATACGTACGACATACAACAAGAACCGTAACCGTCGGTATGGGAAGACGGGATGGGTGCACCATAAAGGTGAACTTCACTTGGGAACATTCGCCAAGTGACAAAAAACGACCATTTCATGTTGGGTATCAGTGAGCAATGATAAATGACTTTTAAAAGAAAATATGAAGGAGTGTGACGTCAATTAAAGACGGTATACGCCAAGTAGTTGACTTCAGCCCGATTTCGGTAGGCGATAGAGCATGATTTTCAAAAGCCACAAGATTCAAAATTTATTAAGGTCATTTATGACTGCTCTGGCATGTTCCAATCTTCTTGCGAGCACTTCACCTTAGACCGGAAGTCAGCGTTTTTCACAAAAAAAGGATTATCATGGGCGCTAAGGGATAAACTACATCTTACATGAAATATTACGCTCAAGCGAAAGTCCAAACAAACACTTAAGTAAACAAACAGAGAGGT